GCACATTGGTCTTATATTTTCGTGACTCGACGGCCGTTGTCATTTTATCCCATCTCCTCATCAGCATCAACCGACTGTGGGCTGTTTTTCTGCCGCATTCATATCGGGCGGACCACACCAAAACTGTGGCCATCGGATTTTGCATCGCGATATGGTTGTATTCTAATACATTGCAAAGTGTAGCGGTGTTGTTAGATGCGCTGTATTATCGAATCAAGAAAGAACCTGGTCGGTGCTGGATGAACGTTCGCGCCATGAGCGAACTGACAACGGTGCGGTATGTTCTCTTTGTGTTAACGCCGATGGTGACTATTTTTGTGGGCTTTATCGTGATTTGGCACGTGCGGAGAAGCGCCACCAGACGAGTCGATTTAATCGCCTGTTCCAACCGGTCTATTCGGAGTACCCAAGGTTCCGCCTCCGGAAGACTGGTTGGTCCGGTACGATCCCTGACCGATCGGAATCTGTACAGAACGTACTTTTTCATGACCTTGTGGACCATTTTCTGCTGGGTGCCCATTGGGGTGGCCTTGGGTATGGGAACATTTGGCGGGGTGTCGGATCCCGGTGTGAATGTGGCGTTCTACGTGTCGTTCTTGATGTTCTACGTGGAAACCGTGGTAGATCCGATTCTGCTGCTATGCGTCAATAAAGAATGGAAGAAGTCCTGGTGCTGCGTTGGAATCCAATAAGCATCCTCCACGATGGGTTGCGTCGTTAGAATTTGTGGTGTACCGTATCAGGCTGATATGGCAATTTGAGCCGTCTTAATAATAATTATGCGGAATGGTCCAAATTTTATGTTATCTTTTAGTTTCGAGAAATTGATATCTCAATGAATCGGACTAAATAGTACTAACATTGCGAGTGTGGTCATTTATAAAGGTCATTCTGGGTTGGCTACGGCAAACATAGCATCTCATAAAATGATACGCAGTGTCGCAGATACACCACAATTTGGGAAAAAGTCGGTAAAATAGTCACACGGAGTCTATATGAGTAATAAAAACAAAATTTCTTAGCTCTGCAGGATTTTGTGTAGTCATGCATTAAATGCATGAGCGATAGCGAATTTTGCTATCGCACTTTTTAAGCATTTTATCAACTCTTTTAAAAATGATTATATAGGCTCAGTCTGCTGCACAGATAATTTTTGAAAATTCTGTTCAGAAAATTTTCTGATTATTACAATTCAGCATTATATGAAAAAAATAGTCTAATTAACGCGTTATGAAATTCCAAAGTCAAAGTTTTGAATGCACAGAATATTTTTATAAAGAAGACGTGTCTTTTAAACGGAAATTTCCACTAATAGTATACGAGTAGCAACAGTTTCGTAAGAAATTATTATTTATAAAGTATTAATTGTTTGAGCTGGCATTGTAGACGGCATACTTCAGCAATAAGATGGCTGTTTACGTTTTCGCGTCGCTATATTGTCCATTGTACAATCCTATCGGTGTCACGTGAACGATTTTCAGCCGTATCGAGAGGCATTGTCGAGTTGACAGTTTTCTATGCGCAATCACTGGTCAGCATAATGGAAAGGTATTTTGGCAAAAAAATACAAACGCAGGCCGCGCATGCAACACTTGGATAAAAAATGCTAAACACCAGGCACTTTGAGCGGATGATTAGCAGGTATTAGAGTCGGGTTGATTGTATCGCAATTTGACTTGGAATGAAACCAGTACAGCCGGTGTATTGTTCGTCATATTTTCCCTTTTCAATAAGGGCGGCACGTTGCCGGTAATGTAGCCGTAAGGCATATACTTGAGCTTTTTTTGTCCATCTTCACATATCATAGTTTGCTGCTACCGATAATTTACACAAAATCTCCAAAGGCAAATTACAGAAAATGATAATATCTTTACAGCTGACAATACATGCTGCTCAGAGGTGCTGCAACAGTTAATCCGTTTTCTTTGGATCATAATTGGAAATTCCCTTCACGACTTTTGTGTCGAAAAAGATTGCCCGCACTTCTTACCTTCATGTGATTCTTTTGGCTTTATCATCTGCTGATTGGATTATATATCTTAAGCTGGACTATATATCTTAAGCTTATTTTCTTCCGTGTTTGACCAATTTGTGTTTAAACTGACGTGGACTGCTTGCAATTTTGATTCAGTTTTTTGGTATAATATGTACATTGTATTTGGTGGCATGGAATACTAAGCTGTTCCGCAGTGGACCACGGTTTATCAACAGCCTTAAATTCCGCGTGATAAAGCATCCGAATTTTTTGCCAACTGTTTCTGTGATTTGATTTTGTCATTCCAAAGCTGACACTCAAGCCAACTTTTTATAAATTGTTTTGAAAAGGTTAGTAGAATTCTGGTGTAGCAAAAAATTTAAATTTGTGCGCAGCAAAATTAGGACCGCACAATTGTTTTTTAACTGTTAACAGTACATATTAATTATTAGTTAGTACTTAGTGACATGTATTGTGCTCAGTACTCATTAAATTATGTATTTGTACTTCTAATTAATCGTAATGACATGTATTGTACTCATTAAATTACAGTATGTACCTGTACTACCGCGTTACTAATTGCGTGCGGCAAAGACTCGCTGCTTATAAAGTAACTGACATCAGCAAATTAAAATCATTTCTTGACTACTTGCCGGAAATTTTTATTCTTAGCCTGGTTAAAGTTACAAAAAAGTAACTGCGTGAAATTATTACAAAGAATGCAGAAGGGTATTCTTACAAATTTTGAATAAAACGGAAACAGTAGTAGTGACTAGTGAGTTATTTTGGTCATAACGGAACTGATTGTTTACTACTGACAATATTATTGCTTATAATTTCGTGGTTAACAGCACAATTAGTGCCGTCAAGACTACTCATAAAAATTTTTCTCGTAAATACACGATCTGAGACAGCTCGTCTCGTGTATGACTGCTGCGGCGCGGTACAGAAACATTGCGCAATCGTCCACAGCGTGAGTGAAAGGCTTTACCAGTAAATGCCGGCAAAACATGCCGTGTTGTTGTTCTACGGAATACTCCGTACGCGCCAACATGTAGCCTACGATCGGACATAACGACAACATTTTGGAGCAGCTTGTGCCATTTGTAATGCACTTCTCTAGTTGTTCTCGCCTGTCCTACGGCTGTTGTGTATTTTCGTCATTTTTTTGCACTGTGTACTTTTCTGTTGTGAACACTTAACATTGACAACATTCGATGGTGATTTGTATTAAATGCTATTTACAGATTTCGGTCCAGAATGAGCGCTATTTGGCATAAAATCAAGAAAGCCATTGCGTACCATTACAGCGAGACGAAGTACGTCCGCACCGAGGACCAGCTGGAACGGGAACGATGGCTCATCCCCAAACTGATCCCGTTCAGTCGCTACATGCTGATGCCAGCGGCTGTTCTCATTCAGGTTTGCTAGTTTTTGGGGTTAATTATTATATACACCCCGCTCAAGCAATAATTGCATTCTTTAACTTATCTATCGCTACCAGCCAGTTAATATAGTTGTTATCAATACCATCTAGCATTCATCATGTTCTAGGTATGCTGTGGTTCCCTGTACGCCTGGAGCGGATTCAATTTACCTATCGAAGCTAAACTGTATGGATTTAATAAAGGCGTGGATCGCGCTATTGGTGAGAATAATACGCAGGTGAATCTTTAATTTTATAGTATTAATTTCTTGTTAAAATTTTTTTGTGCAGCTGTCAACGTCTTCTACGTGGCCGTGGCGATTTTCGCCCTGAACGCCGCCTTCCTTGGGCCCTGGATGGAGCGCAACGGGCCACTGAAGGGAGCTATGTTGGGCGCCTGTCTGTTTTACCTGGGCAATTTGGTTACCGCTCTCGGCGTCTACGTCAACCAAATGTGGCTGATATTTATCGGTACAGTACAGTAAATTATAAAACTACCAGAATGTGTACCTAGTTTAATATAAGCCGCGAATTGTAAACCATCAGAACGTAACTGACAGCACATATGTATTATGTATACTACATCAAAATTTTTCCAGGATACGGTGTTATTGGCGGCGCCGGTCTGGGCATAAGCTACATCTCCCCGGTGTCACCGTTGCAAAAATGGTTTCCGGAGATGCGAGGCATCGCGGCGGGATTGGCGGTGTGCGGCTTCGGTGCCGGTAGCATCTTCTCGCCTTACACACAGAAGGCTTTAATTGGACCGGACTACGCCAAGACCGGACAGATCAATCTGGGCATTGAGCTAACCTTTGTCATCCTGGGTTCCTGCTATTTTGTTATCATGGCTCTTTGCGCAATGGTCCTCCGTATGCCTCCGTAAGTGCCGCGTTTGTTCGTATAGTAGCAGAAAACTGCCTTTCAAAATAGTCTGCAATCTAGAGCTCTAATTTCGCTAGAACAGTATTTTTTTATTACTCCCCGAATTTCCTGGGCAATATATTTTGATCGCAACAAGAACACTTAAATGACATTCCACTACTGCCATATGTACAGATAATAATATTTGCAATGTTTGACGAAAATGTGTACAGAGTAATTAACACCTATCCATAAAAAGTAATGTGTCAAATGCATATTTTGATTTCCTCGGCAAACACTTAGAGCTATTTGTAAAGCTCGAGTTGCACCTTCACAATATTAATATAGCTATTTTGTAGGCCGGGATACGTGGTGAAAGGCGTGACGGTGCACACGGTCAAAGGCGCCGAGAATTTGTTCGTGGCCAAGAAAACCGTGGTCGACGATCCGGTGCCGGCAGCGGAAAATGGGAAAGTCGAAGCCGACATGGAGATGGATAAGATGGCCGCGCGCAAAAGCCGCAGCCGCTCAAAAGGCCACTCAGTGGTGGATGTGCTGCCGGACTATGCTAAACACTTTTCCATGTCGCTCAAGCAGGCGCTCACGTCCCCACAGTACTGGATGATGGTCAGTAAAATGAATGCGCAAATCAAAAACACAAAGCTTTTGTCCTCTTCTATGATAAGAAATTGTTTATCCGTTTTTTGTACACATTCTCATCACTAGAAAAATGCCTGACCTGAACCTCATTAATTTTTAGTATTTTATGTTCTTGGGATCGGAAATTACTGGACTCCTGATTATCTCCAAAATCCAAAGTATTGCTCAGAATCAACTCAAACAGTCGGACTCCGTATCGGCGGATATCAACTCCGGTTTGGGCGGGGTCAGTGCGAACACGCACTTTTTCCTTGGCTGCTTCACTAAAACCAGTTTCTATAGGTAAATCTTCTGGGACGCTTAATATTGCCACTTGTCTCAGATTTGATTAAAAGCCGGAAGACCCTCTTCATCTTTTCACTGATCTGTCAAGCTGTGTGCTTGGGATGTCTGCCTAGTGCGTTGGATGCACAGAGTTTAGGTGGTGTGCTGACGTGCGCCTTTATCATCGGATTCTTCTGTAAGTGTGCAGCTAAATATTTTTCTAGCTATAGCCGGTCTTTATTCATCTAACGAAACTCCGCTTCAGTTGTGTCAAATGATTTTCGAGAATTATTTGTACTGACGATGAAGGGATTGTGATACATTGCAGATGGTGGAGGCTTCGGTATGATTCCAGCGTATTTAGCTGACCAGTTTGGCGCTAAGAATGTGGGAGCAACGCACGGCGTAGTAAGTCCGCACGCTTGTACATAGCAATAATTTAAAAAAGCTAGGAATGGCTATAAACTGAAACTTTTAGATCTTGACTGCTTGGGCTATTGCCGGCGTTTGCGGCGGTCTCATTTTTACCGCTGTTTATAATCAACAGCGGCTCGCTTATCCGGATTCCAAAATGATGTGGTACGATTTTCTAATTTTAGCTGGGTTCCATCAGATTCGTGTTGGTGTAGAAAAGTACCTAATTCACTCTCTTGCTGTTGGCGTACTCGTATATAACTTTTATCGGACATGTAGAGAAATAATTAACAATGTATTACAGGTACGATGTCAACTTCCGATGGATTTTGGCTCCAGTATTATTTGCGCTAATCTTAGCGATCTTAACGCCAACAAATCTCCGCGACCAAAAACTCCCGCGCGTGGAAGGCGAACGCCTGCGCTTCCGGCTACCTTTTGGTCGAATGGTCAGGCTCATTAACGGACGATTTCGTACGGTTAGCGTCGAGGAGGAGGAAGCTGAATGGCAGGCCTATTTGTCATCGCTGCACGTGGACGCTGAAAAGCAGGATAGCCGGAAAGGGTCCACGACCCCGGATCGGCCTGCTAAAATGTTTATTTCTGACTCAGAAGCGACCTTACCGTCCTTTAATGAGAAAAATCGCGAAAGGAGCATAGAGCCGACCGGACGTCAAGCCCACTGGCCACGATTTTCCTCGTAGGAGGTTTTTTATATGTACACAGCGTGTGTTCTTTGGGGATCCTTTTTTGTCATTTGTCAGTACGGATGAGCATTTTTTGGAATTGAGAATTGTTAAGTCGATGTGAAAAAAGTTTAGAGTATTTATTTTGTACCTTGTGCTTTTGGTTTCGCACATGCCACTTGTTGTAAAAGCCATGGTACAAACGGTTTATGTTGTACTGAAGAGTTATGTACACTGTACAGTGATACAGTAAGATACATTTTTGTATATTTTAAGTTAAGCGCTGACTATTGCCAGCGCAACGCGCATACATGTACATAAGTTTTAGCCAAGTCCACAGTTTATCGTTAACCGTCAGCGGTACGCCGACAATAAGTATCTACAAAGCACAGCGAATTACTGTATTTGTGTTGTTGTAGAAGTAAGCATATACTGTACGCTCATATATGAAAATCCCATGAAACCGCATGACAATACCTTAACATGTGCTGAAGCGAAATTACTATCAACGGTGAAATCACTTGCCCCATTAATCATCCCTTATCGCATTAAAGTCAAATTGTAAGCACTAAGCAGTCATTCATCCAGTTTCAGTCAAGTAAAGTAAGGTATTCCATTTTGCAGTGCACATCTTCGGTTAAGTGTGCAAAGCTAAACTGTGAGGAGTGTTCGTCCGGCTATTTGGATATTCTTTCTGTTTACTCATGACGCTGATTATTTCCTTATCACCGGCAGTTATTGTTCGTCGGTGAGTGGATTTGTAGCGGTATTGTCCGATCGACCCGTCCATCAGAATACCCCACTTCCGCGAATAATTTGCGCAGACTGTGCAGCCATCCAATATGAGCAAGTTCGTGCGAAAGGTTAAAAGTGCTGTCAAGTACCATTACAGCGAAACGAGCTATCCGCGCACCGAAAAGCAGCTGGAACGTGAACAATGGCTTATTCCGAAACTGATCCCGTTCAATCGTTACATGCTGATGCCGGCAGCAGTACTGATCCAAGTACGAGCCGTTTCACGGTTTTGCAGTATGGATCCGCTTAATAACCTATACATTCTGCGCTCAAAATTTGCCAAAGAACAAGCGCAACTGATGTGTTGCGGCATCTGTAACTAGATTTTCTGTAGGTTTGTTGTGGTTCATTGTACGCATGGAGCGGCTTCAATTTGCCTCTCGAGGCCAGATTGTACGGGTTTAATGGAGCTACGGATCGAGCAATCGGTACGAGAGCGGAACTTTCAGTTCTAGAATAATCACACACTCTTGCTGAGTTTTTCATGACCTTTTATGATAGAAATTTATCTCACACATGATCTCCCTGATTCTTTTTACAGCTGTCAATGTTTTCTACCTGGCCGTTGCCATCTTCGCGTTGAATGCAGCCTTCCTCGGTCCGTGGTTAGAGCGCAACGGACCACGAAAAGGAGCCATTTTGGGAGCTTGCCTGTTCTACCTGGGGAATTTAGTGGCAGCGCTCGGAGTTTACGTTAACCAGATGTGGCTGATCTACATCGGTAACAGCAGTCTACAATGACTGCATCAAACTCGGTTATAATGTCAAATCACGCAATTTGCCTCCTTTTTTCAGGTTACGGTGTAATCGGAGGTGCGGGCGTTGGTATCAGCTACATCTCGCCCGTGTCACCATTGCAGAAATGGTTTCCGGAAATTCGTGGGGTGGCGGCTGGGTTGGCTGTGTGTGGATTTGGTGCCGGGAGTATCTTTTCGCCATACACGCAGAACGCTCTGATTGGTCCAGATTACGCCGCCACCGGACAGGAATTTCTCGGGATCGAATTGACCTTTGTGATCCTGGGATCGTGCTACTTTGTAGTCATGCTGGTTTCCGCGCTCATACTCCGTATGCCTCCGTAAGAATCGTTCTCCCTATTTGTCACATTTTTATGTCTGCTTTCATGTACAGTAGTACAAATTAACGGGAGTGTTTTTTTATTACCAAGGCCTGGTTATGTGGTAAAAGGGGTAACAGTCCACACAGTGAAGGGAGCGGAAAAGCTGTTTGTCACCAAAGATAAAGTAGAAGATGAAACCGCAAAAACGGATAAACAAGGGATCGAGATGACAAACATCACGGGAGATAATCCACAGAAACCCCGCAAATCGAGCACGGTTGTTGTTCCGGATTACACTAAGCATTTTTCTATGAGCCTGAAGGAATCATTGACATCTCCTCAATACTGGATGATGGTAAAGCGGTTTTTGTTTACGAAGCTACACTAATCCGCATAAACGTGCAAACCTTTAATGTGCCTTTTAATACAGTACTTCACCTTTCTTGGATCGGAAATCACCGGCTTACTGAGTATCTCCAAAATCCAGAGCATAGCGCAAAATCAACTGAAGCAATCAAATGCCGTTTCCGCCGATATCAATTCCGGACTGGGCGGGGTTAGTATTGTATGGGCGTTGAATCGTCCGACCATTCTGAACGACCGCGGTTCTGAATTATTTAGGTGAACTTGTTAGGGCGACTATTGCTGCCCTTCATATCCGATTTGATCCAGAGTCGGAAAGCGCTGTTTATACTGTCCCTAATATGCCAAGCTGTGTGTCTGGGATGTCTGCCTAGCGCTATGGCAGCGGACAGTTTAGCGGGAGTATTAACGTGCGCTTTCGTTATCGGATTCTTTTGTAAGAAGTTACGACTTGTACTTGTACGCCTGTATAGATTAGCAGTACATATTTGTACGTAATCGAAATATTGTGGGATTGTGCAGATGGAGGCGGATTCGGCTTGATGCCGGCATATTTAGCCGACCAGTTCGGGGCCAAAAATGTGGGAGCCACGCACGGCATGGTAACGGAATTTCGTACTAACTGCTCGTACACGTACGCATTACAACGTTTTTTTTGTTAGATTTTAACAGCGTGGGCCATCGCCGGTGTGGGCGGTGGTATGGTTTTCACAGAAGTCTACAATCAGCAACGGGAAACGTATCCAGAAAGCGAGATGATGTGGTAATGTACAGCAAATCAGCATCCTCCGTTCCTAACATACCAGCGCTTATAAAATGACCTTTGCAGGTACGACTTAAATTTCCGCTGGATTCTTGGACCTGTATTGCTAGCACTAATTCTGGCGGTTTTCACTCCGACCAATCTGCGCGACCGCATGCTGCCCCGTGTCGAAGGCGAGCGCTTCCGGTTGCGTTTGCCCAATGGGCACTTGCTGCGTTTTGGGGGTGGGCGATTCCATGTTGTCAGCACGGAAGAGGAGGAGAACGAGTGGGAAGCATACCTCGCCTCGCTAAGCACACGAAAACTTTCCATCAAAGACAGTAGCGCGGAAAAAGCGGCAGATGCTGTATCTCAGAGTACGGTGATAAAGGTGAACGAACGACAAAACGAAATGAGCTTAAGACGCCTGTCTGATTACTCGCGCATTCAGTTTGTAATCGAAGGGCTCATGCAATCTGTAAGCCTTACTTATGTGTAAGCTGGAAACGGTAACTGCATTTACGGTATTAAAGAAACTTATCTTATATACTCTGTAATAAAAAGGAGTGTCACTCATTTTTATTAATCGGCAATCTGCGTAAAGCTAAACAAATAGTCGATGAAAAAATGGTTTTTATGGGAAATATCAAGGGTGTAAAAAGGAATAATTCTCCGTAGTCCGTAGAAGTTATTACCGCAGTGTCTGCCAGATAGTGGTCGTTACACGTATAAAGCAAATGCATGATTTGGGTGCTTTTTTGCAAAGGATATGTATGTTGAAGTGCCCAGTTTATATCACCGAAAATCCCTCAACTTGTATGAAACCGGAATAATTTCAGGCTTAACCAAAGGACTTATGTAAGCAGTAGCCGCACGCATTCATCTATCGATGGGAGCGTCTGGAAGACGCTGTCACCTGGGCCCGTTGCGACGACGTGGATAATTGTCCACTCGCTCCGCTACTCTCGCTCTTCACCGGCAAGTGGAACATCAACCGCAATCCATCCCAGAATTTCCCCAACCGCACGGCATACAGAAAACAGTTGGCCGTCCCCACGCCGTGGTACAGCAGCAGCGACAGCATGTACCAAATATGCAGCAACTGCTGTCCCATGTTAATTAACATGATTACACCAAAGGGTGCAACAAGCACCAAATAAACGACATACGCCTTAAACAGGGACTTGGCAATCCGAATATCCTTCCTAAAGGATTTTCCAGGCTGCCCGGTCAGCACTCGGATGCGGCTTATCCGCACCTGTCGGTAGATACCGTAATAGGCGATAAAGGTTAATATGGCCGGGAAAAATAAAAACACCGACACGTTAAAAAGGGTGTAGTGATAATGGTCGGTGGCGAAGGTGCAGACGAACAGGATATCGGAGAAGCCGAGTGAGCCCCATCCGACGCCCACGTGATTGGGTGTAGTGGCTCCAAACATCACCACCCACACAGTTACGCACATGAGGAACACGCTTCCCCGGGTGTACACACGGGGATAAAGAGTGGGATGGCGTATCAAGATATACCTGAAAACAATTGACATAAGCCAAGTTATTGCGATAGTTTGTTGGGTGTGGCGGAGAGGTTCATTTACCGATTGATGGCGATCAGTAGAGTGTTCCAGTGGGTAGCGATACAGCTGGCAGAGCACAGTTGCGCAATTACTACAAAAAACCACGGGTATTAGAACTTAAAATCGATAATGACATTGACAACTGGCAATCCAAAACAACGCACAAGGTTTAAACAGCGCACATGTTCTAAGTTGCAAGTTATGCATTACCTTTGCAGAGAATCGGATGAGTTGTGAACCAAATTTTCCCCAGGACAACTCCTACACAAACAAAGATCTGAGATTCGTTGAAATTTACAACGCATCCACTTTATTAAGTAATCTGGAACTCTCAATGTGGCACGTTACTGCGTTCTAAATTATTATTACACTATAATAAAATTTTAAGCACAAATATGGGTACACGAAGTGACCATTTTATATTGTTCCTTATTGTTAGCAAATCAAATTAGTATTCTCATTTTGATATTTTAATAATGCAGACAGAGTGACAGACTTACCGACCGAAGACGATGGTTGAGTGACAAATGATATAATGAAATCCGCCAAAGCCAAGTTGACTACAAAAGCGTTCTCGATTGTACGCAAAAAAGCCGTACAGGCAATAACGAGAATGATCTGTAAAGTAAAATGTGCATGTGCCGTGAAACATACGCAGAATGTAGGATAGGTTAACGTTTGACTAGTCTGATAAAGGATATGCGATCCTTACGATTAAATTTGCAACGGATCCGAGCACGCTCTCAAATACCAGAAGAGCGCAAAAGAATATTTTTTGTCCAGGATCAACATAATCAACAGTAACTGATAGATTAAAAGCGGTGCTGTCAGAAGTCGTACTTAGTGTGGAGATATTCATGGTGCGTCCGATCCGTAACTTGCAGTGATGTATGCTGATGCATTCGAAGCCACAAAACACACGGATGCAACAATCGCCAAATTCAGCAATAGGAAACCGTTTCTAGCGCAGTACTAAAGCAAAAACGTTGTTGTCAATCGCTAGTGTACGGTTTCATAGCGTGCTCCGTTGCAGTCGTGACTTAAAGGTCACAGATGCAACGTCAGTATATTTTTCTAATCATCTGTATGGCTGGCTGTATGTTGTATAGCAGTTGTAGGCTCGGCATCCATCTCACTACTCTAGAACATCAGTACATCGGTAGCTGCAGGAAGGAAATGTTGTTCGAAGGTCTTTAATATGACTATGTGGAGGCTGTCTCGTGTTTGATGAATGGCACGCCTGAAAGAGGCATTATCTGATCTAATGCGGTCTTAGTAAGAAGCGATTCCGTAAGTCAAAGGTCAAGCCGATGATACGCTGCAGGGTTTCCCTTTGATGTCAATATTATTTTTACAAGCATCTGTAATCGTAATTTCCCCGATTGCGCCATTGAAAGTGAGCATCTCTGGCCGCTGTCTTTGTGCACTCCTGCACTGCTGGACACTTCTCATCTGATATGATGGGAAAGCGATAGACTCCATGACTTTATTTCCGCTGAAAAATTAACGTTGCCCATTAGTAAAAAAATGACTTCTACTCAGAAGCCAGGAAAATCCCGCAGAAGTCCTGGTTCTGCATACCTCGCCGTTGTAAATATTGCTACACGCCAGTCCTGGGTATACTTCAAACGCTGAATTGTTTTTGGTAAAGTATCCACGATACTGCAGTTAACGGTTTTGAGCTCGCCACGTCACATAACGCTGTGTAATTGAATTGTCCATTTCGTGGGTAATTATTTTATTGAGTGACGCGTGTTTTCCCGCGCAACATGGCATAGCAAGATTATAGACCACGCGTTACGGACTCACGATAGTCTGTTTCTGTAGTCCGCTGTAAGGAAACTCTGTATCCGAAAGTAATCCCGATTACATGTGACCTTCCGCAAGACTAACAGATTATCAACCTTCATACGCAAACACGGTCTTGCGAGCAATGAAAATATATTCTGTGGTTGTTTGATTTCGACGTAATGCTTTTTAATTAGTAAATTGATTTCGGATTTATTTCACGATTGTGACCGGCAAAAATGTCCCCCCTGTCCCCCCGGACATTTTTGCCGTGTCCCCCCTGCCACCATCTCCAAAACGGTAACCCTTTGGCCAGAATGGTAACATGGGGGACTTACAACGGAAAGTTGATTTTCAGGTCGATCGGTGACCTTTGAAAATGTGCCACCAGCGTTACCACGGCGTTACCTGTCCAAAACAGTTGAGGAACATCGGTCACCTAAGGACATTACAGCAGAACTGAACTTACAGGTTTCCGGCAAGGGGGTCATTATTGCCGAAACGAAATTACGGGTGTCAAGCATGGGGGACATTATTGCCGGAACGAAATTACTGGTGTCCGCCATGGGGGACATTATTGCCGGAACAAAATTACTGATGTCCGACAAGGGTTACATTATTGCCGGAACTAAATTACTGGTATCCGGCATGGGGGACATTATTGTCGGAACGAAATTACTAGTGTCCGGCATAAGGGACATTATTGCCGGAACGAAATTACTAGTGTCCGGCATGGGGGACATTATTGCCGGAACGAAATTACTAGTGTCAGGCATGGGAGACATTATTGCCGGAAAGAAAATACTGGTGTCCGACATCGGGGACATTATTGCCAGAACAAAATTACTAGTATCCGGCATGGGGGACATTATTGCCGGAACGAAATTACTGGTATCCGGCATGGGGGACATTGTTGCCGGAACGAAATTACTAGTGTCCGGCACGGGGGACATTATTGCCTGAAAGAAATTACTGGTGTCCGGCATGGTGGACATTATTGCCGGAACGAAATTACTGGTGTCCGACATGGGAACAAAATTACTGGTATCCGGAATGGGGGACATTTTTGCCGGAAAGAAATTACTGGTATTCGGCATGGAGACATGATTGCCGGAACGAAATTACTGGTATTCGGCATGGGGGACATTATTGCCGGAACAAAATTTCTGGTATCCGGCATGGGGGACATTATTGCCGGAAAGAAATTACTGGTATTCGGCATGGAGACATTATTGCCGGAACGAAATTACTGGTATTCGGCATGGGGGACATTATTGCCGGAACAAAATTTCTGGTATCCGGCATGGGGGACATTATTGCCGGAAAGAAATTACTGGTATTCGGCATGGAGACATGATTGCCGGAACGAAATTACTGGTATTCGGCATGGGGGACATTATTGCCGGAACGAAATTACTGGTGTCCGACATGGGGGACAATGCTGCGGGATTGTTTGTCAATGTAATTGTTTTTTTTTTCAGAAACTAGCTTTCTTCTTGAAGACCGACTGTAGATGGTTTTCTACAATTTATAGTGCCAGTTACAGAAGGAATTGCTACTCTAATCCGTTGGGAAGCTCGACTGAGTGAGAACGCGCCAAGACAGCAAAACTGTTTGTTCTAGTGCATAACAGTTAATCCTCGGTTGTAGCTGGGTTCAGCCGGCGTCTCGTGGCTACTCTCTGTATTCTTGTTTCTTGGCTCGCGGTTATAATGTCGTTTGAATTCAGGTTTTCCGGTTGGTCTGAAATGCAAAAAGTTTTCCATGTTTAGCTTTAACGGAATAAAATGTTTTAATGCAATGTCGCTACTTGATGTATTTCACCTTCACAATTTGGGCATTTCCAGTTCGCCGGCTGGACTGTGGATATATCTGTCGCATCCTTTGCGGTCACGCAAGACTGGTGGTAGCCTCGCTTGCATTCTGCACAGGTCCACATAATTTCCCCGTTGAAGCCGACAGGCATCCGGCAAACACAGTACAAGAGCGTATTTCTTGTCAAAGACGAACCATTTAGGTTTGCAGGCACGCTCGGAAAGGGAGTAAGGCGACCGTTTTTCAAGCACTGGATCAAGTGCTTCCGCATTTCCTAAGTTTAAAGCATAATAAGTTTTTGAAATTGAAAACGGTTCTTACTCCCAAATTTGGAATGTGGTTACCCCATATACGTAATTCTAGGTAGGCTCTAATTTCTAAACTGGAAACTGGAACTGATGGTACTTACCCTCTTGATATAACGTCTCTTTTCCGGGTCCCCACCGTAACATTTTTCAGTAAGGTAGGCGATTGCGTAAACTCCACAATCGCAACCGTTTTCCTGGTGTATCATAGCAGGATAGCGAATTTTTATGGAGTCGCAACACTGAATCCTGAAGATCGACGCAATTTCTTGGTCGAGGATATAATCAAGACGCGGAGTCAGACTGTCATAGATCAGCACTTCGTTTGCCTCGCCATCGTGGTAGTTGGTTACGAATATCCAGTGGTTGCCCTGGGTAAAAATAATTTGAGATTTTCGGAAGTGTTTGTCGCTGCTTCGCTCTTTCTTTTTTCTTATTCCAATCACCGTTGTTTTAAAAGAATCTCCCTTGTTCGCACGCGGAATGCTGTATTGAACAGGATTTTCAAGTCCGTTAATGT